TCTCTCTCTCTCTCCAATTCACTTTATAATATATTTAATAAAACAATTTTTCAACGTTTTTCTCTTTCTATAAAATCCTAACTCTCTTTCAAATTTAGTGCTAAAATAGATTTCAGTAAAAATACACACTTTTTCAAACAGTAAAAAAGTCGCTATTTTTAGTTTTAATTTTTGAAATAAAAGTTATTACAAGTATTTTATATTTAGGTTTACGTATCGTATATACAATATTAAATTGTTTAAATTAATTAATTTAAATCTCGATCAAGATAAATTAACGCTTATTTGGATTTAATATGAAGTCAATAGTATTGGCGTTTGTTTTGCTGATTACGGTTTGCCATCGCATGAGTATCGCATCCAATCTACCAATGGATCGCTTAAGACTGTGCATTCAGTAAGTAAATTCAACATGATTATTTATAATTATACATTTACAATAGTAGTCATAGACTATGACTCATAGTACATTTATATGCAATATTTCTAAATTATGAATGTTAATGCTTTATTAAATAATTTAATTAAGGACCTAAATATTTTTTATAATCATTTTTAAATTAAAAACAGAATATGTTACTAGATAAATAAAATTATGCTTTTATAATAATTTACTAACTCATGAAAACTTATATAAATAAAATAATTAAGTGAACACGATGTAAACATGATGCAGTATAAAAGTATGTAATCTTTCTAAGTCTATCAGATGTTATAAAAGCATAACAAACATGATTATTTTTAAATAATTATATTGTTTTATGTTTTAAACATAGGAATTGCGGTCAATGTAAGGCTATGTACGGCCAGTATTTTCTGGGCAAACAGTGCGCCCAACACTGTCTGGATAACAAGGTGTTGCTGGAATCGGGTGAGCTACAGGTGCCCGACTGTAATTCACCACATTCTATACTACCGTATATCAGAAAACTGATCGATGACATTGATGTTAAGCAAGATGTTATTTAATTTGATTAATGTAGTCAACAGCTATCTGTATGTCAGTGCATATAACCCCAGGTTTGGGTTTACAATAATATTTATGGAATTTTGAATATTTATTAATTATGTTAAAAACAAAGTATTATGTAAAATATGATAATAAAAATGGTTAATTTATTGTTTGCATTTAATTTATTTAATCCGGATCATTTAATTAAGATAACAGAAATTTTTTAGAATCAAAAATATATTTAAGCAAAATAAGTTAATTATATAAAATAACAAAATTGAATATTATTAATATTTTATATAATTAAAAACATTTCAACAATAATTAAAATAAAAAATTACTAACTAGTGAGTTTCTAGACTTATAAGCAACCCGTAATGGGTGATACAAACGCTAATAATAATAAGTTAACTAACATTACGATATAATTCAATATCAATATATTTATATGAATCATTACTTTAATTTTATATTATCATCATTATCTGAACAATAAAATATTCTACAGTATTTTATTGTGTCAAACAAACAATAAATGTTTACTCGTTTAATAAATACAACTATGACTAAAAAAGGAGGATGCGCATCTGTGTGTTAGCGGGCACTCGAGAATTATTGTTATAAAATGAAAGTACACTCAATGGGTAGTCGAGTGATATATTTCATATGTCCAGATTCCCTCGGGTCTGGCCGCAGTGACCACTTTTATCGGCAAAATTTTTAAAATCAGATCTTTTAATTTATGAATAAGTATATCATCTTATATATTGATAGAAAGGTATTGATGAGAGGAATATTATTCTGAAGGAATTTTCAAATTTGGACATAATAGGAAAAAGTTATTTGAAAAATAAGAAATTTCGTGATAAATAAATACGTTTTTTATTACGACTAACGTAATTATTTTACTTCACATACATCAATTTTAATTGCGATTACAAACATAATTAAATTACTGAAATTAAAATTGGTCAAAATTTTTAATGCAAAATTTTTGGCATTTTCACCATTAATTTTGCGCAAACTTCTTTAAACCGAAATTAATTGAATGCAAATACAGTACTCATAATCATTTTTTATACTTTTCTAATTTATTACATACAAACAAATACATATTGATTGTCTACACATACGGTGCCGGGCATACAGCCAACTGTTAAAACTGATTGTAGTAATAGTTTTGCCACTCAGTGATGGCATTGAGCACTCGCATGAGCTGAGCGTTACGCCGCTGATCGTAGAGTGGAATGAGTTGAAAGACTGGCCCCGCAGTGCCCGCACCGGTCAACCCGTCTCTCAATTCCCGCAAATGTCTAATCACTCGCCGACAGTAGAGTGCGTCGGGACCGCCGTAAACACCCAACGGAATCATAACCACACCATAAGTTTGCAACAACTGGGCGTTAATATGGATGGGCAGGAACTCCTCCGGCGGTAGTGGGGGTGCGTTGGCTATGAGGTGCTCCTCTTGTGCCAGGAATTGTGCCAACGGCGCCAGTTGTAGCTGATGTGGTTGTTGTCCACCGCCGGCGCCCACCAATTGTTGGTTCTGGACAATCAGCGCCGGCGGTTTTTGTTGTTGTTGTTGTTGTTGTTGTTGTAGGAGCTCTAGAGCTACCAGACGTGGCGGCTTATCCTGAGGGGGTTTCCATACCATTTTCCGAGTCGATGGTAGAGGGGGTACTGGAGTTTCCAGTCTTGGGGTGTCACCCATCAGGCGTCGGTATCACACACTAGTGGTAATCACCACAACTGGTTCACAAAGAATACACCATACAAACCAACGTTTACTCAATGAATAGTAAGTAACAACTGTTCATCAAATGCATAAAAACCAGGGCTTGTATACAGGAATGACAGGTAAGGGTTAGGGATTTATTGTATACAAATAGTTGGGAATTATAGATTAAAACTCAGATTAAAGCATAAAATTTGTAAAGCATTTGTGGCATTTAGTAGAGGAGTGGTAGGGAAAGTCAGGGAACTTTCCACTATATGTGATGTTAATTACAAATACTGTATAACAGTATAACAGTTACGAAAAGTGTATAATTGTATATAAATTACAAATGTATTAAAACGTATGTTTATTTGAAGTGTATTTATGTTTAATTGTTAATAATTAACACAAAAAAAATTGAATATAAATGAATATAAATTAATCATATAGTGGTTCAACGATATGTTAGTATAACAGTTGCTACCATTTTAGGGTTAAATAATATAATTAATTGGTCGATCCGGTGGTGGTTTATGTCAACACTTGTTGTCTAATATCTGACTTGAAGTCTAAGAGCGGAACCGATTTGAATGTCATCCAAAACTAGAACTATTTTATTATTAGATACTAGTTTACGCCACCCGTCAATTCTTCCTACTTTGTTATGTAATCACATTTCCTTGTACCTTTACACCTATTCTGTATTATTCGTCCTCTACCTGCATACCCAACCCAAAACCAACTTAACCTAACCTAAACCAAATCAATAATACACTAACCCGCGTGCTTGCAATAAACAGTTTTTTAACAATGAAAATCTCTGCGCGTTCGGGTTTTCCCGTTAAAAATAAAAATTAAATTAATTTCTCAACAATAGTCTCGAGATACTCGGCTATTCTTGCCTCTGTTAACCAACAAAATCTTATTATATATAGTAACTAGCATAGAACCACCCGTCGCTTACTATTACTTTTTCGTGCGATTAGATGACCCTGTACCTTAAAATTTACTTGTCCCTACCTTTCTTAATTGTCCCCTACCTACCCAACCTAACCTAAACCAAGTCAATATAACTTAAACATTATAAATATGGCCAACAATTCATTAGCCCGCGTGCTTGCAATCAACAGCTTTTTAACAATTAAAATCNTTAAGTATATTTATAAAGGATCAGACAAAGCAGACATTCACATTACTAATGCAGAGACCATTACTAATGACCAAAACAATAGAAAACAGGACATCAATGAAATTAATCTGTACGAAACCTGTAGATATATTTGTTCACCCGGAGCGATGTGGAGAATCTTTGGAAATTCTGTTCAAAAAATGTCTCATAAAGTACTGCTGTTAGCTGTGCATTTGCCAAAAGAACAGACAGTATATTTTGACGAAAATGATCCAAATGTCGAAAATCAGATCATTAACTCTGGCAAAACCACATTAACCCAGTGGATGGAATATAACAAAGATTATAACGGAAATGAAAATCCTGATCCACGAACTCTGTTATACGATCGATTTCCCACTCATTACACATGGGAAGAAAAAAAATGGAAAAAACGAGTTAATCAACAGAAATATCCAACAATTGGACGAAAGTATTTCAGTAATCCTCGCGATGGAGAGAAATATTATTTGAGCCTTATGCTGTCACACATCGCTGGAGCCACGTGTTACGAAGATTTGCGTACAGTTAATGGAATTCTCTTCGACACTTATAAAGAAGCGGCCCAAGAATTGGGTCTGCTTATGAATGATAACGAGTCTGAGTTGTGCCTAAGAGAGGCAGCTCAAAAGCAAATGCCAAACCAATTGAGAAATTTATTTGCGATGTTATTGGTTTTCGGCGAACTAATCAACCCCAAAGAATTGTGGGATAAATTTGAATCGGAGATGATTCTGGACTATGCACGAGAACACGATTCACTCCGAGACTTATTTATGGAAGAAATATCACCAGAGTTAAGAGAACGGTTTGTGAACAGAGCTTTAGGTGACATCGAGAGAATACTTATTGCGCAAAACAAATCATTAAAAAATTTTCCACAAATGCCATTATATGATGAAACAATGGGCGGCACCACAAGTTTACTAATTGATGAGATTCCAACAAATCTGTTTGAGTTAAGCAACGAAGCCGATGTTGCGTCAATGCAATTCAATGAAGATCAAAGAGCAATTTATGACACAATACACAACACTCTTGAAAATGACAACAAACAATCTAAAGTGTTTTTCATTGACGGTCCAGGTGGTACTGGAAAAACATTTCTGTATAATGCATTGATTAAGAAAGTGCAATCAGATGGAAATATTGTCCTCGCTGTTGCCAGTTCAGGAATTGCTGCAACACTTCTTCCTAATGGACGAACAGCTCATTCCAGATTTAAAATTCCAATTGATATTACGGAAACCTCTGTGTGTAATATACCAGCAGATTCAGATTTGGCAGATCTTATTCGAGAGACAAAACTAATTGTTTGGGACGAAGCCCCAATGGCCAATAAATTCGTTTTTGAAGCTGTTGACAGAACATTCAAAGACATTACAAAAAAATTTGATTTGGCTTTCGGAGGGAAAGTTGTTGTCTTTGGAGGTGATTTCAGGCAAATCCTTCCTGTAGTGAGAAATGGATCTCCGAGCGATATATGTGATATGACTATAAATAGATCATTTCTTTGGAAGTCAATCAAAGTCTGCAAATTGACCATTAATCAAAGGGCACTTTTATCCAAATCGGAAGCGTCCGAATCACAACAGTTTTCTGAATTTTTACTTAATATCGGAGAAGCTAAAGGCCCGTATCAAGAGGAAATGATTGAATTGCCAGAAGCGATGTACTCCTTATCAAAAACAGACGATGAATTCATTGATGAAATTTACGACAATTTACATGAATGGACAATTCTGACCACAAAAAATTCATATGTTGATAACATTAATGAAAAAATTATAAATCGAAATCCAGAGATTGTTCATGAATATCTGAGTGCTGATACTTTTGTAAATTCAGAGCACGAAAATATGTATCAAATTGATCAGATCCAAAACTTTACATTTAGTGGTTTACCACCACACAAATTGATACTAAAGAAGAACATTCCAATAATGCTTTTGAGAAATCTTAGCCCAACAAATGGTCTTTGCAATGGGACTCAACTTCTTTGCAAAGAATTTCTTTCGCATGTTATTGTAGCAGAAATTATTACTGGACCAAAAAAGGGTGATACAGTATTAATACCTAAAATGACATTATCACCGTCTGACCCTGAAATGCCGTTTACCATCCGACGAAAGCAATTCCCTGTTCGGG